GTACACTTTGCGATCGCTCTGCTACAACCGGCAACCGTTAGCTGGCGAGTGTCGACTCCATTAACAATTCGTAACTGGAGTGTCGGGCGTCATTATATGCATCTTTTTTAGCAGTAAGTGAGGTAAATACATTCAACCACTAACGATGAGGGGGCGAAACACAGTAACTTGTAAGAAAACTAGGCGAAAACGTCCGTTATAGCGGTCTGCCTCTAACGGCAAAGTGAGCTGCCTGAGGGCAGCACGCATGCAATCGCAGGGAACGACCTGAGTTACCATGTCCAATTCAGCGACTACAGTAAGCTCACTGATCATATCAAGTTAACATAAGTTGCGAAGCCGCAAAGAATCTCAAAGTCCCATCCCCAAAAGGGGGCTGTACTGTGACGATTAGATCTGACAGTTTATCCGAGTGATGGTTGTTTTAGATGGGGTGCTAGTAAGCAAAAAGGGCCAGAAATTTATTGGAACGCTTCAAAATCAAGGTGAACAGTGAGTATTATTACGGACGATAGCGTTGTAGTAGCGACGATTCACTGCCGGCTGGGCGTGCGCCGTCAATCTTACCTATTTTTATATTAATATTTAAATAACGATTCGGTTCCTTACCCGTGACGATCACGTGAGGTGGAGCTGCACTCGCCCCCTTCTCGGAAGTTCGACCGTCGTATCCGATAAAGTCCATCGTGCGCATCCATGCAAGACGGCACGGGGGTGGTGACATGCGCGTGATTCATTTTATAGCGGTAGTGGGCTTGCACTACATCGGCTACTCTGTCCACTACTAGCACCAAATGAGCCTGGCATCATAACGTTGTCAGGAAGACCTGAGGCGGAGAGAACTCACGGAGCTGATTAAGCAAAAACCCACACCCTAAGCATGCCGCTAGACCAGCTGGGATCGAACTGTCTGTGGGAGTGTCAGAGGTCACATTATGAAGGAGCCATTGCAGCCTAATATCCTGTCCGCCAAACCACACAAATATGCACTGGGCCGACCGAGACGTCCGAATTATCTCGGCACTTGGCAACCTTCCAAGCCAAAATGGCTTCAAGCATATCAGATTGCTTATGTTATGTAAGGTGTGCTGAGCCTCCAGCCGCACTCTATTCTATTTCTCAGTCCCCCGTCACCGTTCAGTGGACTGGTGCGGGAAATGGGTACCGCATACCGTCAGTGCATACAAGGTTTCTGTCCTGTCCCCTTCTCCTCTCTCCCGTATAACACAGACACGGGGATATCACGCAGGATAAGTTGAGGGGCTCACATGTGTGAATGTGTCAGAAACCACATTAAGGAGCCGTTGTTGACCGACTTAGAACACTAGTCAGTCACTCCGCACAAACGCACATTAGGCTGACTGCATGATCTGAGTGTAATTTCCAGCTGGCAGCCTGGGGAGCCACGGCGCTTTTCAGTCCGTGATAGTCTCAGGCTGGCACAAAAATGAAGAGTGAGGCGAGGATCATACTTTCCTCTAGCGTGAGAGGTGTTGGTCCCAAAAACGTTTCGGTTAGTGTTGGACGTGGCCATGCGCGACGTAGATCCTGGTTCGGAAAGATGCAGTATAGCCGGTGGCGTTGTATCGCAGGTTTTAGTGGGGAGCGTATGGGTCCATGCGGTGAGTGAATGTGTATGGACAGTTGAGGCAGGTGCAGTCACTGTGTGTTTGCCCTTTCGACACGGGTCTTCCAGTCCCTGTGCGATAGTTTCGCAAATGACTTTCCAGGCCGATGTGTGGTGACAATATGGGCAGCGTAAGCTGGTGGCGTTATGTTGGTACTTCTGTTACCGGGTGGGCTGGTACTAGTTTTCGCGCTCATGGGAGAGCTGGGTATGAATGTTTTGGGTGGGTGTGCAAGACGTGTTAGGTTTTTGGACTCTTGGTGGATTCCGCTCTTGTAGGTGCAAATGTGATCGACTAGGGCCATGCGGTGAATGAATGCGCGTAGGTGGCGGTCTCTGTTGGGTGCTGGTTCTCCAGACACCTCTTCACCAGTGTCTGTGCGATGGATTCGCAAGTGACTTAACAAGCCAATACGTGCCATGTATGTGCGATCACAATGAAGCCAGGTTGGAATCGAGTCGTAATTGCTCGTTTAAAGGGCGGTAGTCGTTTAGATACTAGGTGGCGGTTCTTCGGATGTGATTTCATTGGTAGTAAGAGCGAGGAAAGTGGTAACGATGGTTGCTGCCGTGATCGACGTGGGGTTGCGCCACGGGGGAGGGTGCCGGTGATCGAAGGCAGCGGGAGATTGGAAGTGTGTAAATCGGTGGTATAGAAGCAGAGGCGACAGTCGGGGGCATTCGCGGATGTAAGTGATGTGGGAATAATATTTTATTGTGTCTGAAGATGGCCGACGGGGCCCATTTGCGCGTGGAAGGCGCGTGGACATATTTGAGGGGTTTGAGTACTGACCACGAATAGGTGGTGCTTTCGAGTTACCGCCCTTTGGTCATGGTAGTGATGGTCCAGTTAGCATCGTAGATTGCTGTACCAGTCTTCGTTGGTCTTCTCTACCGCCGTTTGTCCTTGGCGAGGTGCTCCCGGATCACCGGGTCAATTTGCAGCCGCTACAGAGAGTTACCCAATGTGTTTTTGTAGTCCTTTTTCGTCTTTGTCCGTCAGCACCCGTAGCCACATATCCCTAGAAGAACAGTTTGGGTAATCACTTGTCGCCCATTCTTATAAGGTGGCCTATCCACCGCAGCTGTACTTG